GCAAACTCAGATAAAAGATTCGCCTTCACCTACGTACAGAATCCTTATAGGGCCGGTTTCCTCAGCGTTTCTAGCACCACACACATCACGCTTTGTAAACGCAAAGCCCTCCTCCTATCTTCCTCATCTTGCTTCGAGCCAAACGACAACTTCTCGACTTCCTTTGAAAACGAAGACGCACGCACGGGAAGCTGTCACACCGGGGGACGGTCGGGCACGGAGGCAGAACACGAATCCGGTTTTTATCCAAAACGCGACCGCAGGGCCCGCACCGCTTTACTGACCTACTTTCCCCCGGTTTGTGTAACGAAACGCGGCTCCGCGCGCCGCGGCGTCACCCGAGCGGCACGGCAGCCCCGGCGGCGAGCCGCTTCCCTCTCGGCGCCCGCAGCGCCGCCTCTCCCCGCCGAGGAGCGCGGCCGGACGCCTCCCGCTCACGGGGCGGACCTCTCGCGGCGGGACCCCCTGCACCGGGCCGAGACGTCGAGCCGCCGCACGCGGGGCTCGGCGCGCTCAACGCGGGCACCGCCGCGGGACCCCGCGCCCGCCCTCGGAGCGGCCACTCACCGTCCCCGATCGCCATCATAGCGCGGAGCGGCCGCGGGCGGTGAGTGCCGGGCCGCGCGGCCCCCGCTCCGCGCCGCCACAGCCGCTCGCCGCGCCCCGCTTCAAAATAGCAGTCCCGCCGGCAACCGGGCCCGGCCCCGTCCCACCGGGGACTTTTACTGCGCTCCGCCCCGCTCCGCCCCGCCGTCACGTGCCCGCGCCCTGCCCCGGCCGGGCCGAACGGAGCGCCGGAGCCGCGAGCGGGGCGGCCGGAGGGGAGAGGCGTTCCGTGCCGCTCGGTTGGAGGAAAACGCCTTGTCCTGACGGCGTCCGGGCACCGGCTGCCGCGGAGCGTCCTGCGGCCGGCAGGAAAGCTTAACGGAACCTCAGCTCCCGCCCGCGGCCGGCCCGAAACCGCCGCGACGGCACCGTGCGCTGTAATAAGCGATAAGCGCTTCCTCCCGCCTCGTTCCCTCTCGTCTGAGAACCGGCGGCGCCGCGCTGAGCCGAGCCGTGCCGAGCCGCTCGCTTCCAGCAGCGCGGGCGCCGAGCTCCGGAGCCCAGAGACGCGCACGGGGCACCTCGAGGCACGGTGCGGGTGTAAGCCACAAAGGGCAGCGGGTGAAACTGATCGTCATGCGAACGCGTTCTGAGCTGCCGTATGAGCAAGCAGAACACGGACGGACCCCAAACAGCGTAAAATGATTGCAGCACCTATCGGCGGCCTCAGCGTTTCTCACGCTATACATTCACACCACGTCCCGTTGGCACGGGCTGTCACTGTGTGTGCTCACAGAAACCCCCTGTGCAAAACGAACACAACAAAGGAAAATCGGAAAGAAAGAAAGAAAAAAGCAAAACGTGGCAAAGCAAATACCCGTTTCTGCTGCAGATGTTTACTGTCTGCTATAGAACAAACGCCTCGGCTGTGTCTGCAATCCATACCATCACCCCCCCATGAGTGTGACACCAAAATGAGTGCATCCCACCGATCGCATGCTATGTTTGTAAGGTAGCCCTGCGAGGCATGCCTTTAATGGGAAAACTGCATGGGCTGAATAGAGAGGCACAATCAATATTCAGCTTGGATCATTCCACTGAATGAAGCAAAGCACAGGGCTCAGTTATTGTTCTCCCTACTTTTGACTCCCTGTCTGAAAACGTATGCTGCTCTCCAGTACGGAGGTCTGTTTAAATTCTCTTAGGGAAAACAGTATTTACAAATCTCAGCCGGCAGAAACAAGTGCTTGCTCAGCTTTGAGATTGGCTGCCGGTCCCGTTTCCATAGAAATGCACATTCATGTGCTGAAAAATGGGGAGGTGCTTTAAAGAGCCTCCTCCAGTTTGCAGGGATGCAACACATTTCTGCTGAAGCAAAATGGCAAAACAAGCACCGCACGCAAGACTTGGCGTAACAGACAAACACATCCAGATACAATTCTAATAACATGCTGCATTACTGTGAATGTAAACAGAACCCAAGGTTCTCAGAACAGCTCATTCATTCACATAATTCGTGGCAAAGAAAAGATGTCTGATTTTACTAACCACAGCTTATTGGAGGGGAGATGCTGCAATCAAGACAGGGGGGAGAGGGAATTAAAGGTCAGCTGGAGAGGCAAATTATTGGTATGATATTATTTAAGCTTGTAACGACTCATCAAGCAGCAGCATAAGACTCGAGCCATCGTTAGACACAGGGCCTTCCATACTTATCTGCTGGCTTTGAAGCTACACCCTGCCCCAGTTATTCTAGCAGCACTCATTTCAATGTGCTTTTCACATCTTTCGCCCTTCGCTAGAATCCATCAGTCCCTACAGACAACTGATTCCCCGCTCTCTTCACTGTTCTATCAGGGATTAGATTCAATGAAGGAGGGACTGCTCATGCTAGGTCCATTATCACAATGAAAGGAGTAACAACAGATGAAATCCACCAGTGTGCATGAGAACACAGGAGAACCTTTTCCTCTCCTCCCTTGTTTCTCCCACACATGCTGAAGAACACCAATACGTTTCTAAAACCTGTCACATGTTTAACTGTGTTAGTAGGAGCATATTTTTCTTTTTTGTTTGTTTGTCTGAATTATTAAAAATACTATAGAAAACATTCTTGTATTCAGCTTGCTTAAAGCTGCTATTTTTCTAGGTTATGGTTCTCTTTTTGCATATGCAAAATGAAGTGACTGAACAACTGTCAGAAGTATTGTTGGAAGAAAGGAACCTAAGTGACATCTCTGGATTCTCACAAACTAGGTCAGCACGACAAAGATTTACCAGCACAGCGGTGCCACTTACAACTACGGAAAAGATTGCACCTCTGACAGTTGTTTTCAACAAACGTTTCCATTTCCAACACACACTTTGAAGAGAACTCCCATCAGTTACAGCTAACTCCTCTGAGAAAACAACTCAGCTAAGATAGCAAAAAGCCATTCCTTTTGGAGGTTAAAAGGAAAAAAAAAAAGAAAGGGTCCGCTATGGACTCTACCATTCTAATTACACTGAAGTCTGTGGAACAGTTTTTGGCCTTCGACTCTTCACCCTTTGGAAACACAACCCTACTCCAAAACATCAGCCTTCAAAAGCACTAAAATATCCTCTGTACTGTAACACATGTATTTAGACATTAACATCTGGCCTTTATCCAGAGATGTTTGATAAAGCTCTGAAAAGAAAAGCTGGTAAGAAAGCTACAGGAATTCAACACTAACTTTAAATCTACACATGGAAGCAGTAAATATAAACTGTCCTTCAGAGAATAAAGAAAGAGAAGGTCGAGATAAACCACTAACAATAGAAGAGTATATTTTCCATAGCATTAAAAAAATATCCGTTTAGATGGATTCAACAGATGAACAGAGATTCTGAAACAAAGGTATGAGAGGGATTCTGTCTCTGGGACTAAAGAAACAAACTCATAGTAGCTTCTGCACAGAATTTGCCACCTACAAGCCCAAAAGGATTTATACCACTGCAGATCAGCACTAATACCTGCATTGTACAGATGAGGTAAAATGGCTTAAAACAAATTGCATCTACTCTTGTAAGATACAAACCAAAAGCTCCTATGTGAACTAGTCCAGCAATAAGTGTGTTGTTTCTTTATTTCCACAATTTAAATTACTTCAATATGTTTATATTCTCCTGTAACTTTCTCCTATCTCTCAAGAACTGCCAACAGAAAAAGTACAACTAACATGTATCTATGAACCACTCAAACCTATGCAGTGGTAAGAACTTTAAATGCAAAAAAAAAAAATGGTTTGTCCTTCCAATAGGAGTCAATCTACGATCAAAGAAAATGTTTATGTAAAACATTCTTCTCAAAAGTGAACATATTTATTGTTCATTTTTATAGTAATCCTTATAAATATATTTTCTTATTTCCAAGTGCCCAAGAATAGTAATGTTTTACTTCCAACTAGAATGCAACGTAGAACTTCACTGTAATCTCAAAAAGGTTTAAAAATGCACTTCTGCAAGCCCACAATCTCTGTTTTCACAGTAATGACAGAAAGGTGAGTGTTTAAAATGAAAAAGTACATTTGCATACATTATCAAATCACATATGCATTCCTCAAAATATTTCTACCCTCAAACTGTTACATTTTAGATCTAGCAAAGCTTCCTTTTCAGTATAATTTCACCAGAAGTATCTGAAAATCTTCCACTATAAACCAAAATCTGCCAACTGTGCAGAAGACAGACAGACAATGAAGCTTTCAAAACCAATCAAATTAAAGCCACTGCCACAACACCTCCCTTGTTGTGCTGTTATGTAACTGCTGTTTGTTTTTCTTTTTTAAAGTATAGTTTTAAGTAAGAAAGAATGATGGTTTTGCTCTTTCATCCCATAAGATACTGTTTCAGGACTGCAGCAGGAAGCAACAAGGATTCACTGCATAACAGGCTTCATTTTCATGAAAGACACCAGAAAAAGAGCTTAAAGTCAGTACATTAAAGGAGAATTTTAAGATGAAGTCACAACTTCCACACTGAAGCGTCTCTGAATACTTCAATCACCTATTTCTTTAATTTAGAATTTACTCTATCATTCTACATTTTAACTGAGAAGAAACCACACAAAACAGCCATTATTCACTTATTTTCTTTTGGAATCACTGTAAGATAAAAGCCTGTTTGATTTCATTTTTTCCACGCACGAATACTCTGCAGCATTCTCGTAGCCTCTACTGCATGCACACAGAACTTGTTAAAGATTCACCACCAGTTTCCATGTGATTTCAAAACCTTTTCCAGTTGTATTCTGACTGCAGTCCTAAAAAACAGTGTCGGTAACGTAAGTCTGTTTCACTATGCAAATGTCTGTTTTTCTCTGTATCCTTGCAGATGTTTCTTGTCAACCATCTCACACTGTTCATACTAGCATTCAAATATTTATCTTGCATTAATCTGAAGCTGATGATTAACATATGTTCTTTCATACTCACCACTGATGTTACTTAAAATCATATTTCCAGAATCTCTCACTTCATCAAATTTTGTAAAGATTGTTTGCAACCTGTAAAGAACAAAAATATATATAAATATATATATATAAAAACATATATTTACATATTGGAAATCCTCCAGGTTACCAGTAAAAACATGAATTAGTTTCTTAGTATATATAAAGCAGTCAGACAAGGGATTATGAGTTCTAGAAACCATTTCCAAGGGTCTCCCCTTCTTCAGTCAGTTGAGCATCTTCACACAAATACACATAAAGCAATGTCACCAAGTCAGCAAATAAAACTGAGCATCACTATTAGTAACACAAAAAATAATGAAAATTCTGGAGTAGAGGCTTAGTAATATTATATACTTGCTTCAGAAAGGCAGTGATATTACCCAATTTATACACAGCTCTATAAGGCAACAATTTGAACTACAGAATGCTTATATGAAAAAAACAGGCGGTCATTAATATTTCATTTGTTCTGTGACAATTGCTAATGTTCTGAAAAATCTGGTTTGTTATAAAGATATTTTTAAGTGGTTTGTGCTTCCACTGAAAAGAAGAAATTCTTTTTTCTAGACTCCAGGAACACTAACACTTCTGTACCACTGATTCTCACAGTGGAAAACACGCTGCAATTGCTTTGCTACTTGTTAAACAGAAAGAAAAAAAAAGTACAAAAAAAGTACCAAAAAAATTCACATTTCCAGTCTGGTCCCATACGGTAGAAAATGCTATTCAAGCAAGAAAGTTGGCCAAATCTGAACAGCCAGTTCTCATCACTTCTGCAGAAAATGCAATAAAAGCTGTACAAGTATCTCAGTATGGTATGTACAGATGTGAGGATATTTTAGGTACAAAACGAGCAGGACTGAATACTGACCTTAAATGCACATTTATCAACTACAAGTCACACAACAGTAGGCAATTCTCATAGTGGGTACAGCTCAGTTACGCTACCTCACACTTTCAAATATTTTAGTAGCCTTGAAGTATTATTTTTCCTTGCCAAATACTTGAAAGCATTTGCTAGACACCACACAATTAGCTGAGAATTTCACAGGAAGGCCCACCTTACTTCAAATGTCTATAAAACAAACAAACACCCTTAACAGTATGTCCGAAATGCTGAAGCTATTATCCTGAGAGAAGCTGAATATGAAGACTACAGAGAATAAGAGATTTCCTTTAGAATTGCACCTTGATTCTTATATGTTGCTAGGCTGATGGTGTGCTTTTGGCACATTTTTTTTGCACATTTTTCAGAGAATTCAAAACAAAAAATTATTTCCTGCTCTTTTGAACTTAGTTCTCAAAACATGCTTCACAGAGCATTTTAAGCAGAGAAAGCAGAGAACAAGGAAATGTTTCCTTATAAATACATTGTGATGATACACACGCTGTCTCTCACTCTGAGCAGAATATCTGATAAAGTAGTAGCTATAAGCATTCACTAATAACCTGTCAGCACTCAGTGCTATGCAGTCACAGTGGTACAGGCTAAAGAGGAACACGGCACCGCCAGCTGCAAAAGCTTAAAAGCACGTATTTCTGACTTGAGACAGACGTATCCTGCAGTGTAGACGCAGCTTAAGCTGACATACATTTCTCCTTACTTCCTCCTTTGGAAAAAAAAGAAGTGCCCACATGTGGACACACAGCTGAACCCTGTCTACAGTACGAACCAGACAGATATGTAGAATGCGCAGACCACATTAAATGCAGTACTCATAAATGCATCCTGTAAAATACGTAGCATTTCAAGATATGAAGCTGCAGCCTTAGACACGAGAACTCTAAACAAATAAATGTACTTTTTACATTTATGTTACTCAAGTAATGGCGGAAAAAGTTGTCAGATAACTTCCTGAAAGATCTTGAAAGGCTGTGAACACTCAGACCAAGCCAGTGCTAACTTCTACATCCATATGTATTTCCTCTATTCATGGAAGATCAGCTACATGTTTCATACTCTAACAAATTCCATTTGGTCCAAATGGAACAAAAATGGTTCCATATTCTTGGCTCAAAGGGCAAGAAATGCAATATCCACTCTCAGTATCCACAAACATATAAACACTAATACTTCCAGGCTCAATAACAAAGACTGTCAAACCTCTTTGGCAGTAACTTTAACTAAAGGGAAAACAGAACAGCCAAATCTCTGGCCACTGACTCCATACTGATTTTTATGAGAAAAGAAATGTTCTTCAGGCCTAAATGAGGATATTCTTCTGACATTTGTAACTTGAAAAGCATACATGAAAAGAGGAATTCAGCAGATTTATTTGCAAATTAATCTCAGAGACTGAACAAAAAATACACTAGTAGCAAACGAAGTTGAACTACAATAGTACAACTGCATCTTCTTTTATTAGCCATCTAGACCCTGCTCAGGACCAATATCCCTCTCTAGACAGCCTACTATTTTCTGCAAGTGCAAACCTACAGATTATAAAACCTATTTAAGCTACCGTTTTTGAATTAGTATGTACATTTACATTTATAGAGACATAAAACGTATACACTATTTTCATATTTAAATAATTGGAGTGATTTCTCTAAATAATGCTTGATGAACTTTCCTGCCTTCCTTCCAGTTGACATGAGCTCTTATTCTCAGCTTTAAGGCTGAGTGCACTCGGGCAGAAACACACAGACCTCCAATGTGCAATTTGTTATGCAAATGAAGCAAGCCTACATTCTCTGAAATCACATGTTTACCAAATATTGAAGTAATGGTGCTAATATTTATGCTTGCAATTTTAATGCACTGTCATACAGTGAAAGAGCTGCAATAGCATTCTTTAAGGCTGAACTGAACAACTGAAAGCAGCTGCATCTGAACTAAGATTATCCGTAATACTTACTTAAAATCCTTAAAACCTACCCAGACACACAAATATGAACATAAATTTCCCTCAGAATAATGGTAAGATGGTGCCGTAAATCAAGCTGTTTCACAGACCATAGCTCCTGCATGTCCATATGAAAAGTTTAATGAATCAAAGTGAAGGGAGAACTCCTGGCAGACAGTGGGAAAGAAAGCTCTTAAACTGGGTCTGCCAGGGAAGGAGCAACTGTCTGAGATAGAGCTAATCTGTCTTTCCTGAGCTTTGTCAACTGCCTTGTTACTGTGTTAAGTAGGGAGAGACAGCAGGAATTCTGCTTACCATCAGTACTAGGGATGGAGACCAGTAGCTTCATGCTCAACTCAAGCAAATTGTAACCCATCACTTCCTCCCAACTTGAAGATTACTAGGGAAGACACAACACTCATGAGCCTCAGTTCATGTATTATTTTATGCTAACCTTGACTGCCAGGTGTGAAACTGCTGAGATTAGTGGCAAGAACCAGCTGGATATGCACCAAATCCAGCTTTGCTTGTTTCTGTAAATGAAAATGGCACAACTACGTTTGCTTTCAGATCAAGGGGAATTTGGTGCTCAAGTGATTCTGGCAGTAGGAATCAGCAGTTTGGTCCCTGCTGCAAGTTAAGTTAGAAGCTGTTGATTAGCCCGGAGAGACAAAGCTCCTGTGGTGTTTAATCCTATTTGGATCTCAAGATTTACTTAGTTTATATCACATGGAAACGTGAACAGGATGAGTGCTGAACCTAGACTTATGGTCAGATCCAACATTCATAGCACAGACAAAAGCTGTTGTTATCTGCATTCTTTTGCTTGCATTCTCTGTTCCAAAGAACATCCAAGACTCTGCCATAACGTAAGAAGGATTTTCTCAGATTAAACTATCTGCTGGGGAACTGAATTTTTGGAACTGTAGTAATAATACAATTTAAACTTCTGTGGTAACCATATAATCACTTCATACCCCTGAACTGTAACAATGGTTAAATAGATGAGAATGCATACAATTTCCCATTCCTATAGGCAAGATAAGTTTTTGTCCAAAGAGGCTGAGCTCTGCCTAGCACATGAAACAATTTAACACCATTCTCCTATGATAGTATTTCAATACCTTATAAACCGTTAAAAACTAAGGCTAACAATTTTTAGTGTTCTTGTCAGCCACAGAATGTATTCTGATATCCTGACTGAGCCCATGTAGCAGACACAGCTCTCTTAAAATAAAGAAAAACCATTAGGACTCAGAGTGCAGTTGTTACGTCAGTTTGTATGGGGTTAAGATTTTTTTTAAGTGCAAATGATTTTAATGGCAAATTTGAAAGATCAAGATCTGTCTGTTTTTCGCAACGAAACAAATGCTTAACAACAAAACAATGGCTACTTTTATTTCATACAAAGCAACCTACACAAAACGCAGACCAGCCTTTACAGACTTGAATTACTCAGAAAGCAACTCAGAAAGCGTTTTCAAAATTTCATTTCACCTTTTGCATGAAATATCCATGATATTTGTATCATGGCATTTGTACCAGACCAGCTTACACTCCCTTAGAGCAGTTCCTTCTCACTGAATTCCAGAGCTTTAGTTCAGAAGTAGCTGCCTTTCTAAGTAACTATCTCTTATGTAACTGCCCACGAGCAAACCTCCATTGTGGAGAGGGTTCTTCTGATGCAGTTAGCAAAAGCAAGGGAGGACATCTGTCATTGTAACTATCTTCAAGAAAGTAAAGACTTGGTGCAGGATTTGCCATACTTTCATCTCCCTTCCACGCATGTACACATACTTCTCTCTCACACGTGCACAGTGCATGGAAAGGATTAAGTTCTTCTCAGAGAGTTGTGACCCTCTACATTCAAGTTAAACACAAACTCTAGAGTAAGGAACATTATGAATATTTTCAAGTATTTTTCAGCTATTTCCCTACTGTTTACTATACTTCTCACTACTTCCATTATATATATATATATATATATTTATGCATAATTTTGATTTACTATTATTTTATATATATTTTTAACTATTTTACAGCTCTTGCCTTCTCCTAAAATCAGGGAATTTTAACTGCTGAATGTTAGGCTGCTCTTGGCTCTAAACCCATATACCTCTTCCAAGCAGAAAAGACTGTAAAATGAAGGTCAGAAACACCACAACATTTCTGGTCAATTTTGTGTTCTGATTAAAAAAAAAAAAGTAACATGAAAAGGCTCAGCATCACAAAATCAAAACCACTTGCTCACCTTCCAGGAGGAATTCCTCTTTTTGTAAGATCTAGTCGTACTTTCTCCCCCACATGTCTATAAACCTCCACAATGGCTAGTATGGCAGCATCTCTCACCTGTGAAAGCCAAGTTTAAATCATTATTTCATTTCAGGATTTCAGAAAGCAAAACAACATTTTGCTGACAACGCACTGATCTTCCAGACTTGTGCACCAACTCATTTCACAGAACAGTTGAAACAGTGAGGATGGAAGGGAAAGGAAATACAACTGTTATTTCAAGATGGTATTTGTTCCAAGTTAGAGCATCTCCAGACGGTAAATGAAAAATCCTGGAAATAACAGCTCTGGAGGGAATTTCTGGGAATGACATAAGAATACTATCTGTGGAAACATGCACTGTCTTTAGGAGCTTATCACACCAGGCAACGCTTCCAAAAGTTAGTCCCTGAACTCAGTCTTGACACCTCATCATCTCGCTTTGACCACTTGCTTATGTGCAGCAAGGACCTTCTAGAAAACTGGGTATCTGACAGCCTGTAAGAGTGGGCCAATGCAAACAGCATTTCCTGAACTTCTTTGTAAGGAATTACGTGGTTTCACATAAGCACAAGAAAGGAAGTAAAAATATCTAGGATAAAGGGAAGAAATGATTACAGCAAGAGATGAAGTGCCTTTTACAAAAATGTAAAGCATAATCATCACAACAAAAACTGACAATAGCACACGTCATTATTCTCTATAAAGAATTTCTGGAATACCTGAGTACTGTCCTTTGTAGCAGTCTGCACTAAATCTAGAACTGCTTTATCAAGATATAAAGTACCTCTTCACTAATGGGCAACAAACAAGACAAATTCTTAACAGATTTTCTGCAGAACAGAGAAATGCTATGGTGTGTATAAGAGACAAAGACTTTGATGCACCAACATGGTAAGCTTAAAAACAAGGTTTATTTGCCCATCTCCTGCCAATGCTGCCTTCTTCTTCACTTATTCTTAGTATTCTTAGTATTCCTCCTAAGACACAGCTTTAGAAAAGTAGAGAATTTAACCATTTCCATTTTAAGGCTTTCTGAAGTTCAACAGATGTCATCATTCTAATTGACAACTTGATTTTCACTGCAGATGTTTTACCTATGTAAGGTGTTTTTTTGCTTTGTTTTTTTTAGCTACAAGTTAAAAAGTTAACAACAAAATAATGACCTACTACAAAGCAAGTTTAACAATTTTTCTTAAATGCCTTCATTTATTTTGCATTCATCCTTCTCTCTAAACATGGCTGTTGAAACACCAGGAAGTATTGAAACACTTACCTGACTATTTGAGTCACCAAATGCTGCACACAGATGTGGTACTAACTTGCTGAGACTTAATGCTTGGGCACCATAACTGGAGAAAAAGAAGAAGAAAAATTACTTTTCTGGCGGAAAAACAGAAAGTGGATCTTTAGCTGACCATTGATAAAATACAACCATCAATCAGTTCCATGTTTCTCTTACTAGTCCCACATTTAGTTTTGAAAAAAAAAATTATACCTTCAGTCTTTCTTTTGGAAAGCTTACTGGTCAAGTTGTTCAGATTTTTCCCATTTATTCTTTTAACTGAATCAGACTTCCTGAAGTATTAGTTTCAGACAAGAAAGGACAATTAAGAAAAAGGATAGAATCCTTATGTCTCCATAGAAACAAAAAGCTTACATGTTTAAGGTTGCAATAAGACACAAACACACTCCTTCTCGGGATCGGTAATTCTTGTGCTTAAAACCAACAGCAAGGCGTTCCCAAATGTACTATAAAACAGAAATAATTGTCTTTGATTACCAGGAGCACAATACAGTGTAATTCTACCCACTTTCTATATCTACATTCATAACACTTACAAAAAAATAATGCAAGACAGGTCCATTGGAAAAGTAAAGACACTTTGCAGATAAAATTAAGTTATAAAATATGCCGTAACAAACACAATACAGATTACTCATAAACTAAAAACAATTTCAAGAAATGTTCTTCAGAAATCTAGCTATGTATTTGCATTGTTGGAGAAACAGCTTTAGAAAATATACAGAATTGTTACAGTTGCTAAACACAAACACTAGCATTTCCAACTAGGGACTCCAGCAGAAGTTGCTATATCCCTTCTGCTTCACATTGTTTCCCAGCTAAGATCTCCTCTCATCCAGTTTAGCTTGTGCTTATCCACACTCCTGCTGTCCACTTCTCTCTACTTCTGCTTTAGATTTGCTTCTTTATTTTTCAGTTATTTCTTGCCTATTCATTCTACTTTCTTAGCTTCCATTTTTGTTCTGCTTTCACTTCTCCTTTTGTGCTGGTGTTGCTTTCCATAGCACAATTCTCTGGCTCGCTAAGCCCTCCGTTACCTTCCTGCCCATTTGTTTCCCGTTGCCTTTCACTGTCCAGCTCACTGTTTTACCTCTCCATCTCCCTGTCAATCTCCAGCCGCACAGAGTGTAAAGAGTGTAAACGCAAAGCTTACGAGACGTGGGATTCCCAGTGGTACCTCAGAGCGGATGCACAGCCCCAGAGTGCAACTCCCCCAGCTGCAGTGCTGCCATTACAGCCGGCACGGCGCGAGCATCCGCGGCAGCGTCGCCTAGCAATGGCCGCACTCTGCCAGCAGCACATCTCGTGTGCAGGCACCACCCTCCCTCCCTCCTGCCCCTGGAGGGCTGCAACTGCGATGTACAGGGACTGCATAACATCTCCTAGATACCAATGACTGTGTTTGGCTTTGCAGAAGGAATACAAACAGCTATCGGTCAACAAAACAGGCAGTGAGAGAACAGGGAATACTGCACCATTTGCACTGATGAGGAAGCACACTTCGCAGCAGATGTTTTAGCTAGAGCCTACTTGATCACTTGGACCCGTCTCGAGGTTTCTTGTTTGTGTGCCTTATACTTCATCTCATTTTGAAAAAAAAACCAAAAACCTTAGACAATCAGAACATAGCTTGCCAGAAGTGCACAGCTTAACAGTAAAGAACAGGATTTTATAGAAGAAAACATCCCTCCAATTAGACCACTGTAAAGGATTAACGTGAAATAAAGAAAATCTCCCCATCAGGTGTGCAGAAACAGCCGGAGAGGAAACTGCACAAAGAAAGAAAGCAGACTGAAAAAAAATTCAGTCTTATGCTATTAAATCTACTGAGAGTACTGAATCCATCTAATCAGAAATTCAAACGGCTTCTAAGAAATTTCAGCTCTACTGACTTGCTAGCAATCATTTGTGCCAACCTCTCTTTATCCTATTCATGCATTAATACTGTCTGTATTCTTATTTTGATGATACCCTGCACGTAAATAGCCACGTCAAGCTCTTAAAAACAAAACAAAAAACAACACAACACAAACAACCCAAACATTAAAAATGAGAAAAAGGAACTGACAACAGGACAAATTTAGTACTATTGAAGAACACATCAAAACAAACCAGAGGAGACAATCAGGAAGAAACTTACAAATTTTATCCCCCAAAAAGGTTTCCACCCAGCTCCTCCAAAGGGATGTTTCTCTGCAGCAAAGGGAGCCTAAAACTCTGTAGGAGGCACAGGAAAGACTCCTCTGTTTTGGTCCTTGCTATGATGATAGATGCTTTTTTTTTCAAGTATTTAATAATACATAAAAGCTGTCCTGGGAGCTGACACCTGAACCATGCCTCCTCTCACTTACACATTCTGTTCCTTGCACCCCACAAATCTTGTATTCTTTCTTACACTGTGGGTAAGCTTCAAAGGGGAAGCTTCCTTCTATCATCTTAGTGTACAGTCTAACAACAAATGCTCCCTTTGGAAATGGAAAGATGCACCAGTAACCACAACTTGTTCATCAGCAGGGCCCACACAAAATCAGCACAACCACTCTCTTTATTAGTGTCTGTTTTAGGGAAAGTGTCTCCAAGACGCAATGCATCTATCCAAAAGCTGTTACTGTAGGGTTGGGTGTACCTCTAGGTCTGTATGAGAGACACTTCAGAGCAACTTGGGCACAGGAACGTGTTACTTGTGAGCTACCAAGCAATGAGCACTTAAGCGTCAAGTGCTGTGACATCTCTTGGCAATGAATAACATCAAAAATACAACGAGTGAGTGGATAAAGGCTAGGCTTCATGGATGACACTGCAATACTCTGATACCTAAACCCTACTTGAAATCTAAGTTTCTGCAGTTGTTTAACTTGCAATATTTTCGTACCAGCACACAAAGCAGTCATGAACAGTTTTCTCACTGCAGATAAAGTCTGAAAAATCATAATCCCTATGTACAAACATTCAAACTTCTATCTACAAATAAACAAAGCCAGGAATTAGCAAGCAGGAAAACTTCATTTTGGTTCACAAGAAATAAGATATTCCCTATTAACTTCTGCCATTTAAATTCGGAAACAGACGTTTTTAAGAAATTAAGGACTCAAAGAACTCTTTCTCTTGACAACTGGGGTTCTCGGAGCTCCAAATAATGTCACTCCTCCATCAATAATGTCCTGTTAAACATTCACATTTGTCAGACTCACAGAGTAGATATACCAGACTTAGCACTTGGAAGCCATACAGCGCTAACAGCTGTAGAAAGGTTTGCTGAACTCAAACTTCAACATACGACAAGGCAGAAGGAAACATCCCCATCTGAGTTCGTCAGAGGTTCACATGTCTGTCAAACATGTAGAAAGCTAGATGTTCTAAGTTAGACTGCACCATCTGAACTGTGAGACTACTCCTACTTGCTCAGGCATAAAGTAAATTTTAAATTCTGAGCTAAATAAACTTACTTATTCCCATTACACAAACTCAGACATAGGAGGTTGTTTCCAGCATTTAAAGTCCTGCCACGTGACATGAAAACATCTAGTCAGAATTTAGTTACAATATGCAAAAACTGCAGAATTATGCTGTGATAGGTTTTTATCTTCAACTGAGCAAAGCATCACTGTTAACCCATTAAGAATATCTTTAACATTTACTTCATTAACAGTCACTATAACATTATGATGAATTCAAAGTCAAGCTCATGCTAAAGTAATATGCTCAATGGAGACCTACATTTGAATCTATATAAGGTGAAACCATACCATGGGTGGTGCTGCCTCATCCATCAACTTCAATATGAGATTCTGTGCTTGCTCTCGAACTTGATCTTTGGCATCTCCCATACGATCTATCAAAGGCAGGAGAACTACAGGAGAGAAAAAAAAAAAAGAAAAAAAAGAAAAGAAACACTTATCCAGTGAAGATTTTTAAATTCAAAAGGGTATTTTCTCAAACAGATGTAAGGTATACCTCATTCAAAAACAAAAGCTGACTGTAAGTTGGCCAAAGTATTTTCAATTCGTATTCCTGAATATGTTACAAAAACTAACAACAAATGCACTGAACTGCAATTGAAGAACATGGACTGAAAAAAGAAATAAAGCTCCCTGTCTTAAGAACTGCATGAATGGATTCCATTTAACCTTCAGGAAGTATGCCATAAACTTCTGAATGTCTGGCTTTTCTGAAGAATAACGCTAAGACCCGGGGAATGGAGGGGAGGAGACAAAAATAGGATATTGTCAAATCATTGAGATTTTGCTATTTAATTATGAAGATGCAACATGTTTTAAATCCTTCTTTTCACATAGCATACCTTGTGGTAACTGGTCTTATCTCAGTAGAAGTTATTATTTTACAACAATGCGCCCTCAAATAGTATTTCACTAAAATTACATCAGAGCTGATGGACTTCACCTCCTACAAATTAGAACTCACTAAAAACCGAACACGAGAAACCTTTGATTTGCTTGCGCACGGAGAGAAGTTAATAAAGGCACCTGACAAACAAATTAATGCAATCTGATCATTAGGCAGCTTACAGAACCAACGCTTTGATCAGCGCTGTGCAGGACGCCCTGCTGCACCACCTTCCTGCCCTCTGTGTGGGGCCCACACGCACACTCAGGTTCTTCCAACCCCCAGTGCTCTCAGCACCGCTTCTTCAAAGCAAGCAGCAACAACACTGAGTGCTCTGCTTTTGCTCAGGCCTTTACAAGTGAGGCAGAATTGGCAGGGATGTCACCTCCCACTTAGCTCCCTGGGGACAGAGCTTTTAGAGGCACTATCAGTACCTGAAACACAACCTGGGAGAATGAGAGTCACAGGCTAACAGTGACATTTACCTCTTAACAGCTCAACCTCGTGCATTAGCTTTTGTTTCTGATCTGATTCACAGGTTTCTAAGAGCTGGAAGCAGCAGGGAGGTAATCCTAGCCAGAGCTTTTACTCAACACAGATCACGACACTCGGCTTTGTAATTGTCCTCCACATCAGTATTCCACTCGAGCAGGGACCAAGTTAGCAATTACTGGGTCATTTATTTCCAACTTTTAACACCAGCCTAATATTTACCATGAGACTCTCATACTCCAACACCAGCTCACAAAGTTACACCTGAAATCTGCCTTTGATGTGTTCGGCGTTGCATTTACAACACCAGAGAGCCCTTTACAGCTGCCGCTTGATCTCTCTCAGTCACTGACTGCTGTTCTCCTCACCAAAGATATAACTCCACCCCCTGCTTTTTGAAAGGAAGATATGAAAATATGTTCTAACAGAGCTTGATAACATTATAACAAAACAGCAGCGTTGCCAGCAAAACAAAGGGAACAGAATCATTAACTCTGAACGTCTCCTCAGTCCTCTGCTCCTACATAATAGAATTAAAACCCACAGCTGTCTCCACAGCTTGATGTTATTGGACAAATACATTGCTGAGGTTTGACTTTTTCTCCAACTGTGTCCAAACACTTCCTAATTGTTCTAATCTGAACACTTAATTCACCTGGCCCTGGATACTTCACTGACATCTCTAGCTCTCGTTATGCAGCTTCTGCCATTTTTCCTCTATTTTCTCTTCCACTTTCCCTCTGAATAAGTCAGTACAGCTGCCTTCATTTTACACTTTGAAAGGCTTCCCCCCACACCACGTTTTGTGAACACCAAAGAAACATCCTGAACATCAGAAATCAGTTTTGGGAGTACACAGCTGATCCCTCCTAAACTCCCTGTACGTTTACTGGCTACCTTTTTCCTTCCCTCCTGACTCTCTGCAGCACCTCTCAGCTGAATTGCAAACTGCACCATTCCTTACTGCTGAGCCTCACAACGCTCACCTGACTACTGCGCAGCTCAAGGCAATTCTGGCTTATAAAGAGGGAAACAAAACCAAACAGTGAGCTGTTCCAAGGGAGGGGGAAGCACAGCGAGTGCCAGTCCTGTTGGAGCAGGGCTCTGTGGTGACTCATCAGCAGGCTGACTCAGTTCATGGAGCTGCAGATACCAGGCTGAAAGCACTAAGACAAGCACATAGAGCAGCTACTAGAAGAGGCTGAACAGAGATGATGAGGTCACCGTGTTAAATTAAGTGATGACACAACCCACAGACTACTAAACATGCCAGCCTTTGTCACCAGCTGGCTCTGGCAGAGGGACTATCTATTGCACGAGTTGTTCAAGGGCCCACAGGTCTGCAGGCTTCATGTTTTTTCCCCCTAAGTAGGGGGAAAATAAACACAGGAAATGACTTTAAGTTAGTTGCTTATGGGTAAAGTTTCAGAATGCTCACCTAGAAGGGCAACTCCACCAAACAATTCGAGTTCCTAATGCCTCCATCACTTTTCTTCCAGATGTTCTAAATGTTTAGCAAGAGCTACTTATATTACCACTTTTTTCTTCATTAGTGACAAAAAACAGCCGGAAGGTGCTTGCTCTCGTTTCTCCAGGTAAGTGGAAAACACATCTCCCTATCTAATCATTCTTAGACCATTCTCAAGATATATGGCTCCCTCTTAGCATCCTGGTTTGCCCCTCTTTTTCCTTCCCTAAGCCTCCTTGCCTAGCTTTCACTCAGTGCCTCCTGGCCTCTTCTTCCATGCAAGTCCTGTCCAGCCAAGACCACAGAGCACAAGAAACTTCGACTTCTTAGCAGAAGCCTCACCTAAGCCCAATTATAGCCAAACTTCAGAGACCACAGCTCAACACAGGCTACTAGCCTACATCAGGATAAGCCAGCACAGTTAATAGAAAGCAGCAGCTTTGCCTACTCGCTATCCCAGCCCTAGTACCAGTATTTGTTTTCTCGTAAGAAGAACTGAGGACATGCTCACACACTCCATGAAGATACACATTATCAATCAAAAGCAAAAGTTACCAGATATATTGGAACAAAGCGAACGGGAACAAATTATGGAAATTTTTCAGCACCTTAGGAAGTAAGCACTGGGTATTTGTGCACTAAGAGTTTACAAAACAAATTCTCAACTTTTTAACTTAACCTGTCTCCATCCCTAACAGGAACAGTTTAAGATATACTTGTAATACTGAAGTTCCTGCATTAGAAGATCAGAGTGCTATTAGATCCCAAACAGATGACCAGAAAGTGCATCAGTGAGAGCAATGCTTTCATCTCCCAACTTTATTCCAAACACAACTGAACAATCATTTGGCTGACACTTTAAGTTTTATACTTTCTCATCCATTATCAACCTGATGTTCTTCTTTATTCTGCAATGCAAACATATGCATTTGGTAATTTCTGGCCTCAGTCTGCCAACTGAACAGTCTCAAATTGATGCTGGAGTTACAGGAAGGTGAAGATGCAGAAGCAGCATTGTACATGAAGACAGTGTTCACTGAGGAACCTGGGATATTACCACACTGAATATACAATGTCACACACAATATGGACTCATGTATTCCTGTTGCTTTACACTAACCTTGCTGTTCTTACTTCCTCCACTATGTAGTGGAACATGGACATGATTTAGCAGTGGGTTGTTAGAGTTAGGGTAGTTTGGTTAGGTTACAGTTGGACTTGATGATCCTTAAGGTCTTTTCCAACCAAGCAGTTCTGTGATTCTAGTTTATTTAAACTATTTCAAGTGGATTTGAAAAACTAGTGATGGTATTACAGCTTTCTTCCTTTTACTCATTTCTGTTGATACGCAGAAAAACATTACACTACATTTCAGAGACACTGATTCCATATGCAGAGTTGCTGATTACTCTTTGCAGAGCCAAGAAGCACTGTACCCCATTCTTTGCCCTCTCATCACATTGTACTGTCAGCCTCCATCACTACCAGCCATCCCAGAGATTTTCCTCCCAAGATTTCTGCATTGTTATACAAAGATTTTACAACTTTAATTAGTGAAGTAAACCTAAAGGTGTCAGTAATTGTATTCTACAGTACACGTTAATTCTGCCTGACCTATCTCCACCTAACCTGCTATCTACAGCTGAGTTGCTATTTATACATTTTCTGAGTGCATGAAGAATTATGTCGGTATTATATCCCTAACAGCTTGTTATCCAAATGGTTTCTTTTCCTACGTTTGTCTTCCTTTTCTTGGCTTGGTAAACCTAAATAAAACTTCATTTATACAAATTCACATAATGATTTTATCACTGCTAGTTGGACAGTATATGCAAGATTTGGGGCCAAAATCAGCCTGGAGAGTCAAAGTACAGCCTTGGGAGATTAAATATTTATTTCCTCGACAGGGACAGGAGATAATAAACAAGTAAATCACAGAAGTCAGGGCCTAGAAGGGAACCCAGTTTATTTTAAAAAATTCTGAGCGACTTAACTGTGTGACCCCCGCAGCAAAGAATGCCACAGGTAGCACAAACAATTTTCTTCTGTTAAACTTTAACAATTGTTCCTTCTGTTATGACACAGTTTTTCTTTTTGCATTATGGCCCCCAGCTCCCTCTTTCTTCCTTTTTCTCTTGACCACTGCTCTTTCAAAGTGCCCCTTTTATGCAGACCCTCTCCTGCCTACCCACATTTCCATGAACCAACTTCAGATGGTTCTTGTCAGCTCCACCAGAGTTGGAACAACATCAGTATAAGTAAAAACTCTGTTACTAAAAAGTGCATCATCTTGTTTCAGATGTTAAAAGAAAGGCCTTGGGGACAGAAACAGATTAAACTCAGGCAGCCGTGTCTACTAGGTTTCTCAGAAACCTTGCCAGTTCAGGAAACAGCACTAAATGGCTGCTGGTATTGGAAAGAAGGGAGGGAAAACAGCCATGCTGGCAATTTGAGCAGACTGTTTTTCTGTGAAAGACATACAGAAGCGAATATCTCAAAGAGGCTCCGACAGGGCCAGCAATATGGCTGGTCTGACAGCACAAAGA